TCTTGTTATCAGCCCTTTATCGGATATGTAGAAAGCAGATATTTTTTCCCATTCTGTAGGTTGTCTATTTGCTGTAATGATAGTTTCCTTGGCTGTGCAGAAGCTTTTAATTTGATTTTAATTTATTTTTGTTGCTGCTGTGATTACTTTGAGGTCTTCTTAATAAATTCTTTGCCTAGGCCAATGTCTGTAGGAGTTTGTCCAACATTTTCTTCTAGAATTCTTAAGGTTTCACACCTTAGGTTTAAGTCTGTTATCCATTTTGAGTTGATTTTTGTGAGAGGTGTTAGGTGGAGATCCAGTTTCGATCTTCTGCATGTAGTTATCTAGTTTTCCCATCACCGTTAATTGAATAGAGATTCTTTTCCTCATTGTATATTTTTGTTTGCTTTGTCAAAGATTAGATGACAATGTGAGGATGGTTTTATATCTGGGTTCTCAGTCCTGTTCCAAAGGTCTATATCTCTGTTCTTGTGCCAGTACCATACTGTTTTGGTTACTACAGCCTTGTAGTAAAGCTTGAAGTCTGGTAGACTGATGCTTCCCAATTTGTTCTTTTTGCTTAAGATTGTTTTGTGTATACGAGGTCTTCTCTGGTTCCATATGAAGCGTTGAATGCTTCTAGTTTTGTATTTGTGTGCATCATCCCTCTGCCTAGTTTAATTTCCAGTTTAGCCATTTCACCTAAAGCCACTGAGCTTGCAGACTTGCATGGGCATCACCCACCCCTGCAACACCATCTTGCCTTCTGTGTTGCTGAGGCTGAGGTGGGGGGGGGGCGGGGGGGCCATTTGCTGAGCTGGGAAATCTTTTTGCCATGTAGCAACTGTGTGGTTAAAAATTTGTTCTGGGCTTTCATCTCTGGCAGTTCCATTACACGTCTGATTGCTCCGGGTTGGAATTTGGGCATGCAGCGATGGCCTCAGAACATAGTTTTATTTAAAGCTTAGTGGCAAGTACACTGACATATTAATTGTGCATATATTTCAGTGGTGGGACTATGGGTGATTTTCCCCCCTGTCCTTCAGGGTTTTCTGGGGGTTTTTATTTTGTATGTCACTGTGTGTCTTAGCTTGGGCAGCTATGACAAATTATTATAGACTGTCCTAGCATTGTGTCTAATAAAAAGAGCATGGGCGTGGCAGTCAGGCAGACCTGGGTTTGAATCCTAGCACTGCCAGTTAGTATCTGTGCGAGTTTGGCCACATCATGTATCGTCTCTAGGCCTCACTTCCCCATATGGGAATTGAGGTATTGCTGTCCATCTCACAGGATTGTGGGATCCTTAGATGAAACAGCATGTGCAGGTTCTCTCCAGTTGTCGTTACACTCCTTTTTTAGAGATGGGGTCTTGCTGTGTTGCCCTGGTGAGACAACATCGCCTGATCATGCCATGGCATGCAGTGGCGTGATCATAGTGTGCTGCGGCCTCCGATTCCTGGGCTCAAGCTATCCTCAGGCCTTAGCCTCCCGAGTAGCTGGGACTGTAGGCACGCACCTCCATGCCGGGCTCCTTATGCCCCTTCTTCACCAAAGTGCCCTCAGTGTGGTGAGTGCTGAAGGCATGGAGATGCTGACTGGCAGCTATCTGTTCTTGTGTGATTTCAGTGATCTGCAGAATGCAGCTGCTGGCTCCTTCGCCTCTGCCTTTGCTGCGCTGGTGCTGTGCCCCACAGAGCTTGTGAAGTGCCGGCTGCAGACCATGTTTGAGATGGAGACATCGGGAAAGATAACCAAAAGCCAGAAGTAAGCACCACTCCGGCACGAACATTAGGTCTCTGTTGCCTTGGTGTATTGGGTGTTTTTTCATTTCACACTGCATTAAAAGTTAAGTGGCAGATAGGGAAACAGATTTATCTACTCCAAAATATTGTTTCTAGAACTCTTTCCCCGATAAGAGGATAATTTTCTGAAAGTATGTCCGTGATAGTGGCACTCACCGCCCACCCCCTAGAACATGAGGAGTGAGGAGAGAAGGAGTCCCTAGGTCATACAAGCATGTGACGTCTCACCCTGTTCTTAGGGATAAGACCTGCCGCGGTACCCACTGTTGTGAAGAGGAATTGGTAGACAAAAAGTGTTCTGTGTTCTGGCTGCTATAGGGGCAAGGCTCTGATCTGCTTAAAAGAAATTCTCCTGCATCCCTGCTGCTCTAAGAATTAAATTTTTAGTGCTTTTTGTATAATAAGAGCTGTAGCTCAGTTCTCATAATGTCTTTTGTCTTGCCTTCGAGTAACATTTACTCCTTTGCTCATTTCTCTGCTCTAAAACAAAACAAAAACTCTAAACAGTTGAACAGATTTCCCAAAAACATACCACAAAGTTTGAGGAAATAGCAAACAAGACAAGGGACTGGGCAATACAATACCATTTTATTCTTGCCGAGTTTATACAACTCCTTATTGTAATTATAGTTTGTACTTATTCACTGTTGAAAAAATGAGTATTAGCTTTTACATCTTTGATAATGTGACTTCTAGAAATGTATGCATCCATTTTAATAAAATTTCTTAACCAATAATTTAGGTGACAAAACTTGTTATAACTATGCTCTCTGAGATACTTCCTTCACACAGAGGATGCCTTTTATTCTCAGAATTCCTGGTTCCTTTTTTTTACAAAATCAGCTGCTTCCTTACTAGTGCTTGATCAAATCTGTTAATTGGGTATGAGTATTAATTGTCCTCCTTCCTTCCCCACCTGCTGTAACAGTGTCTCTCACTTCGTGTCTCCTCCCAGTACAGTTTGGTCTGTCGTGAAGAGTATCCTTAGAAAGGATGGCCCCTTGGGCTTCTACCATGGACTCTCCAGCACTTTACTTCGGGAAGTACCCGGCTATTTCTTCTTCTTCGGTGGCTATGAACTGAGCCGATCATTTTTTGCATCAGGGAGATCAAAAGATGAACTAGGTAAGTGGGTTCGCATTGGCAGTAGTGGGGTACGATGGTGTCTGCTTCCCAAAGGTGTGGTTTCTGCGGATTCTCTGCTCTTTGTGTCCCCCCTCCAGAGGGGGTCCACCTGGCACGGGGGAAGTTTCTGGATGCTGGAAAGTGACATGGTGGCAGGCAATTGCTAGCACCCTTCCTCCAGGCTTGGTAATTTCCTCAGGACAGAAGCTGAAGCACATCTCAAATTTTTTTTACTGGAATAACATTATTTTTTCTGAATCCATTTTAGGGGAGAAGAAATATAGAGATCACTTCCCCCATGGGGAAATCACCTATAAATAATCTTATAATCTTAAGACTTGGTGATAAATCTTGATAGTGTTGAGAGCAGCGAACAGCATGGTTCTTTCTAGCTTATCCTGTTTAGCTGCTTGACACAACCATGTGCAATGTTTGGCTCACACGAGTTTTTCTTAACCATCTCCCTTCAGTGTGTCGGATGTATTACAGGATTAGCCAAGCCCCCATACTTAACAGCTATGTTCCATAACGCAATTTTTGTTTTTAATGGTAAAGGAAGAAACAGGGCTGTTGGGTGTTAAAATGAGTGAGTGAGAAAGCTGAGAAAAGACGAGGGCTGTGATTGACTGGCCTCTATTCTTAACGCCCCATGCTAAGTTGTTGCTGTGCTGCTGGAGGCCTGCTGGTTCCAGAGGGCCTGCTCTCTCAGGGCTGGAGGGCCACAGTACCTTGGTGACCAGACTAAAATAACACTCACTAGGATGTCTTGTCCTGGCAAGACCCAGGTCTACCGCTGGGTCTAAGAACACAAATGAAACCTTGTATTCCTAGAGCTTGATGTCAAGAGCTTTGACAGTTTCCTTAAAGAATTGTGTTCCGTAGTGTCAGCATTTTTATTTTCACCTCCCTGCAGCATTACTACATCGACCTCTGGAAATGTCACATCAGTGGTTCTTTTTTTTTTTTTTTTTTTTAATCAGTGGTTCTTGAGACAAAATACCATTTGCTATTTTTTCTTTCTAGGCCCTGTGCCTCTGATGTTAAGTGGTGGAGTTGGTGGAATTTGCCTCTGGCTTGCTGTATACCCAGTGGATTGTATCAAATCCAGAATTCAAGTTCTTTCCATGTCTGGAAAACAGGCAGGATTTATTGGAACCTTTATAAATGTTGTGAAAAATGAAGGTGAGTCTGCTAATTGCAGAAACAGTCAACACGTATGGAATGATTGGTCATTTCACTGCTAGGCTTGTTGAAGTTTGATCAGATGTATAATTGCTCTATTCTCCCTGCCTCAGATCCTTTTGTAGCACTGTATATTAACCCATATTTGTGGGTTTATGTTTGCAGACCCTTTTCTTTAGCTTACTTAAGTACTTAATCCTTGGGCCAGGTACCTGTCAGCATTCTTTGTCCTAAACAGCCTGGAAGGAACTTTTAAAATATGGGCTTTTTCTAAAGGAATAAATGCTTTGAAGTTAGTACTACCTGTTCTACATAATACCTATATTATCTGAAGATGGTCTCTAACAGTACCACTAAGGGATTTAAAAGAATGTACAGTATCCTTAATGCTAAGACTTCTAGAATCAGAAATGGACTGAGCAATTTCAGAAGATCATTTGCTATCAATTTTTAGAATTATGCAGGAGGCTAAAGATTTTCTTTCTTTTTTTTTATTTCAGCATATTATAGGGGTACAAATGTTTAGGTTACATATATTGCCTTTGCTTCACCCAAGTCAGAGCTTCAAGCGTGTCCATCCTCCAGATGGTGTGCACTGCACCCATTAGGTGTGAATATACCCATCCCTTCCTCCCCCCTCCCATCTTCCCAACACCCGATGAATATTACTACTATATGTGCACTTAAGTGCTGACCAGTTAATAACAGTTTGATGGTGAGTACATGTGTTGCTTGTTTTTCCATTCTTGGGATACTTCACTTAGTAGAGTGGGTTCCAGCTCTATCCAGGAAAATACAAGAGGTGCTATCTCACCAGTGTTTCTTATAGCTGAATAGTACTGCATGGTATACATATACCACATTTTATTAATCCACTCCCGTATTGATGGGCACGTGGGTTGTTTCCACATCTTTGCAATTGTGAATTGTGCCACTATAAACATTTGAGTGCAGATGTCTTTTTTATAGATTGTCTTTTGTTCTTTTGGGTAGATGCCCAGTAACGGGATTTCTGGATCAAATGGTAGTTCTACTTGTAGCTCTTTGAAGTATCTCCACATTACTTTCCACAGAGATTGCACTAGTTTGCAGTCCCACCAGCAGTGTATGAGTGTTCCTATCTCTACGCATCCATGCCAACATTTATTGTTTTGGGACTTTTTGATAAAGGCCATTCTCACTGGAGATAAATGATATCTCATTGTGGTTTTGATTTGCATTTCCCTGATGAATAGAGATGTTGAGCATTTTTTCATATGTTTGTTGGTCATTACTCTGTCTTCTTTTGAAAAGTTTTTGTTCATGTTCTTTGCCCACTTTTTGCTAGGGTTGTTTGATTTTTTTCTTGCTGATTTTCCTGAGTTCTGTGTAGAATCTAGTTATCAGCCCTTTATCAATGTGTAGCATGTGAACATTTTCTCCCACTCTGTAGGTTATCTGTTTGCTCTCGTGATAGTTACCATGGCTCTGCAGAAGCTTTTTAATTTGACCAGGTCCCATTTATTTATTCTTGTTGTTGCTGTGATTGCCTTTGGGGTCGTCTTCATAAATTCTTTGCCTAGGCCAATGTCTATAAGAGTTTTTCCAACGTTTTCTTCTAGAATTGTTAAGGTTTCACGCCTTAGGTTTAAGTCTGTTACCCACTGTGAGTTGATTTTTGTGAGAGGTCAAAGGTGTGAATCCTGTTTCAGTTTTCTACATGTGGCTATCCAGTTTTCCCAGCCCCATTTATTGAATAAGGATTCTTTCCCCCAGTGTATGTTTTTGTCTGCTTTGTTAAAGATTAGATGGCTGTATGAGGATGGTTTTATATCTGGGTTCTCAGTTCTGTTCCATTGGTCTATGTCTCTGTTCTTGTGCCAGTACCATGCTGTTTTAGTTATATAGCCTTGTAGTATAGCTTAAAGTCTGGTAAATTGATACCTTCCAATTTGTTCTTTTTGCTTAAGATTGCTTTTGCTATATGGGGTCTTCTCTAGCTCCATACAAAGTATAGCATTATTTTTTCTAGATCTGTGAAAAATAATGTTGGTATTTTAATAGAGATTTCATTGAATCTGTAGACCACTTTGGGTAGTATAGACATTCTAACAACATTGATTCTGCTGACTCATAAGCATGGTATGGTTTTCCACCCGTTTATGTTTTCTGCTGTTTCCTTCCTCAGTGTTTTGTAGTTCTCCCTGTAGAGGTCTTTTACCTTCTTAGTTAAATATATTCTGCAACCAGTGAGTAAAGACCTGTCCTAGCATCCACTATACATCTTAAAACTTGGGCTATGAACTCCTTTGTTTTGATTTTAAAAAGAGCACAGTAACACAGAAACCATTTAATTTGTATGTCTAATAGAGGACAGACATCTTGTATATTATTAATAGTAACACCCCCCCCCAGCTTTAAACGTTTGTGTAACATTTTATAGTTTTACAAAAAATACTTACACCTTCCATATCTAATTCAATCTTCATAACACCCTGGGCAATGCTAATACTAGAAACAGGTCTCTGACTTCAAGGTTGATGTTCTTGCTGCTGCCCAGGTGAAGCTGCAAAGCTGCTGCCCCCTCTGGCTCCATGGTTGCCTCTGTCTGGCCATGTCAGGCCTTGAGTCTGCCCCATCGTTATACCGGGAGTTAACCAGGCAGGGAATTGGTGTATGTTACCTGAACATCGATCACTTTTTCCAGGAGACCCAACACTTGTCCTTGTTTTGTTTGCCTATTTAGGGAAACCTGGAAATCCAAGTCCTTCCATCATTTTTGGTTTTTAGTGCTGTTGTGTGAATCTGTACGTGTAGATATATACTGTGCTACACAGCTGTGTGGGGTATCTCCAAGGAAGGGATTGTCAGTCTTTGATCACCTTTTTGTCTTCTAGGAATAACGGCCTTATATTCTGGACTGAAGCCTACTATGATTCGAGCGTTCCCTGCCAATGGGGCACTATTTTTGGCCTATGAGTACAGCCGGAAGTTGATGATGAGCCAGTTGGAAGCACACTGAAGTGTCCTGGTGGGCATGGAGCCAAGCACAGGTGTTGAGGACTACAGTTCATCTCAGGGTTTAATGGAGTACAAGACCAGAGTGGAATTATTTTGGTTTCTAGGGAATTTTGTTTTTGTCTTCCCTTCTTCTACCCTAAATCTTAGACTTTATGGAAGGACCTCTATTTTACATCATATAGTTTTTGCCCATGAGTGTAATGAAATAGAAAAGTTGCTGTTGCTTGGTAGAATATACAGGGTGGCCAGGGGCCCTACGCACCTAATTTGAAAGGCTGAGTGTAGCCCTGTCAGAGTTTTTGCCTAAACCTGTACATGCAGTTTGGACAGTTATGTGATGAGGGAAACACAATTCGGTTCCATGTTTAATCTCAAGTATTACCAGAAAAGCCCAGAGGTGACCATATTTCATGAAGATAGTTATAAATGATTGCTTAACCCATTCTAATGTAGGGCCTCTTTTAAAGTCTGCTTAATGTGTGTACTGTTCTAAGTGGTTGAACTGTAAAAAAAAAAAAAAAAAGTTTTCATCTGGTGCTTGAAAACTAAAATATCCCTCTAGATTTTTAAGAGAATGAATATACTTGCATACCAGTGTGGCTTCCACATTCTGTAGTTAAAGTTTCAGAGTAGGCATCCCGGATTTTCCCAAGATGCTCTACTCTTAAAATAGTGCCATTCATTTCCTAGTTGGGATCATATTCCACGCTGCGACAATATTGCCAGGTGTGGCCTGGAGGATCAGGCCTTTGGAAAATGGCACGGCCTTCACAGCTTCCCTTCTTCCCTCCCAAAGAGCTTCTCCTCTGCTGGGCTTTAGGTTGAGGAAGCCGCTGAGGGGATTGGTGGTGCTGCTGTGCTTTCATGAAGACCCACGTGGCTGACAGCAACTCTTAATTTCTGTCTCTGGGTCCAGGCCTGGGTAGGATTCCAGGGTGTTCTGTTGGCCCATCTGGGACTATCCATTTTGGACCACTCACTGTCCTCTCTGCCTCCACCAATCAGGAAACCTTTCCAAGGAACAGAGAGTGTCAAAGCCAGGAGAAGCCTTTGTTCCCTGTTTGGTGATTGAGTGACAGTACTCGTGGGTGAGTCCTCTCCTCTCAGACGTAACTAGCAAGAACTTAGTGCCTGTACTCCACAGTGAGTGATGTCAGGGCTGACCCATCCTCAAACTTACTTGGGGATCCAGAACCCCCTGCCATGCTTTTACAGTGTAGGAGCCTTCTACATTTGGTACTGGCAGTGAGTTTTAATGACTGTATGTGAGACGCGACTTTATAAAGCAATGGGACGTAAGTAATTTTATGAAACCATGCTGTATGTATGTATGTATGTATGTATGTATTCACTGACTTGAAAAACCAACCAAACCCCACAGTTCATCCGATCCCCACAGACTTGGGGATGGGCAGCTGCTCTTGGGCCATATGGTATAAGAGGATCATTTTTGTCACTGTTAAAGTCGGTCTTATCATTCTGTGCTGCTCCAAGACCAGCAGGATCTCTCTGAACACAAAGCCTTCTTAAGCAGCCCGCAGAGCTGACGGCAAGCAGGCTAACAACGTTAATAACAGTCCACACCATGGGTGTCTGTTCCTGTCGACAGAATATAAATGCTGTGCAAAACTTCTGGTTTCTTTAAACTTTTTGCTACCTGTGAAGCCTCTGAGGCAACTCCAGCCATGGTGCCAGAAGCAAGAGGGTCAGAGAAACCAGAGGCCGATAAACGGGGGGCTTTTGGGGAGGGGGTGCCTGTCCTGCCTGTTGTGCTCCAGAGCTATGGCTGGTCTTCCATTTGCCTTTTCTTTAAGAGAAAATAACTTTTCTACTTTGCTTTTCTCTCCGTACTTAAATGGCCTGGAGCTAATGAGTGGTGCTTCATCTGAACAGGCCTGGATTGAAGCAAAATAGAAAATGGGACTGGCTTCCACCAGGAAGTGAACCGCTTCAGTGTCCACAGTCCCCTGCCTGGGGCCCAGGGGTTAGTCCGAGTTATCCCTGTTGGCAGCAGATCTTCTCATAGGTCATCCATTAAAGATTTAACTAACTATCTTCAGCAAGCAATAGTCTGAGGCAAGTGGGAGTGAAGAATGGAAACCTGAGTCAGGAGAATTTTTTTTTTTTCATTCTATTTACTTAATTCATGGTTCAGTATTTGGGTACAACTTGTACCATTTTCAGATCTGTACTCCAGACAAAAATATAGTAACTTGAAATGTTGTGTTTAAAGAGATTTGAAAATTCTATCATCATTAAATTATTTACCTAATATTTGAGTCTATGACGAATTTTGTTTAAGTGTTTTATGTTCATGTTAAGAACCAACTGTCAGGAATGTTAAAAAGTTGTGTATTTCAAGGTGGTGGTTTTATTGCAACAAGCATTGTTTTTCCTCAGCAAAATTTCTGATATTATTTTACTATAGGT